AATTAATATAGTGATTAAATAAAAGGTGTTTTATTTATATTCATAAGTTCTGAGACCATATTGGATTGACGCAAGACTGTCATACTTTGACTTCCCGAATAACTAGGTTATTCAAACTATCCACATTCGATCATACTTTGGAAGTAGGTATTGAGGCAAGACTGTCATGAATCTGACTGTAGATTGTCTAGGTGTTTTAGACATAACACAAGTTTGCTGCAGTGTTCATGAGTACTCCTGGAATAAGATTCGAGTATTGGATTAAACCCACACTCATCTGAATCACTTCATGGATTTTATCACGAGTTATTGTGAGATGATAATATCTTATATTCTTGAAACCAATACATGTGAGTTGTAATTTACAATTCAGTTTCACATTGACATATGTAAATGCACTAGTAACTTGGTGTTATAAAACATATTGTTGTGTGTGATTTGATGAGTAAGTACAAGCAAGCATTTAAGTCGAATTTTATCCATTTCTTTTTACCCTTATATGGATAAAAGCGATATCTATGGGCCCCTCGATGATTTAGTGATGGCAACCCTAAGTGCTTGGCCAAGCCTGGAGTGATTTGATTTGTTCAATTAGTCGGTCATCATAAATCAGAAATTGGGAAACCACATATGGACAGAGAGAATGATTATAATCCATGTCACGTGTCCATATGATATCTAGAATGGAGGAATATATGATCCCTTATTTAATGGACGCGTCATTGACTAGGTCAGAGTTCGACAGCGGCTTTTAAGAGCTACGATTGCTAGTCGGGATTTTGGAATCGTACTTGCAATAATAGTTATTAGACTTATCCAAGTGGGAGACTGTTGGATTAGGTGTCTAAGCCCATAACTATAGTTGGTATGTACTTGACCCGAGAGTAGCATGGTCTATTTTGGGTTGCATATCACCAGGACAATTTGATAGGATGGATACTTGAGTAAGAGGTTACTTATGATTTATTAATATATTATAAGTTCTAATATATTAGTATGAAATCATATTATTTAATTAGTATTGATCAAGAATTAATTTTGAATTAATTATGTGATCAAAAGAGACTAATTAAATATATGGGGATTGATTTGGTAAATCAATGATTCTTTGTAACACCCATAAATTTTTTTTCAAAATTTAACTTTCACACTCATTCCAAATTCATCAAAAGCATTACACACTGGTTTTCAAAATGTATAATATCAGAGTTTTCCCAGAAACATAAACAAAACATGAGGAGCTGTACGATTACGCCTTTGCCTTGCCGCGATCCCCTGATGTACCTGAAACAATAAACTGAAACTGTAAGCCCGAGAGCTTAGTGAGTTCCCCCAAAATACCGATACACTGCACATAACACATATATAAACAACAACATGTACTGGGTCCACAACTTTATAGACTGGATTACCCCTGCGCCCACAGTGTGAGTCTGTATTGCCTTACGGGCCCACAACTCACATCTGGCTTGCCATCGAGCCCACAATACGAGTCTCCCTTAGCCCGTAACTGGAATGCTCCCGAGCCCACAGTACGAGTCTCCGTTAGCCCGTAACTAGAATGCTCCTAGGGTTTGTTGGCTACCGCATGGGGTCAGTACAACCTCAACCCATCCCACATAACATATAACATATAACATAACCACTGAGCATGCAATAATCATATAACATCACAGGTAGTCCTACAGGTCTACCTAACTGGCATAACCACTAGCATGCATCACTAAATCATACTCAACATCTAACACTGCTAGGATAACATATCCAATGGGCCGGCCTTGGTGCCTTAGACCCCTTAGTATAGTGAGGATAACTCACCTCGCAACTGTCGTCTGAAACTAGAAAGCTCAACTCCCGGATCACCAACACGAACTCCACCACCTATAGTTACCATAAAAAACTTTTTCATAAATTTCCAAATTACCAAAATACCCTCAGAAGTCAACTGGTCAACTCTTGGTCAAAGTCAAAGTCCACAGTCAAAGTCAATAGTCCATGTTGACTCGACTCGTCGAGTGCAGTTCACCAACTCGTCGAGTCCTTCCTGAACTCAAGATGTCGTGAAATCCTTGGTTGACTCGTCGAGTTTCCTCGCAACTCGCCGAGTTCACGCATATCAAAGGGTTGTGGAAAAACCCTATCCGACTCACCGAGTCATACATCTGACTCGCCGAACCCAAGGCAATCTTCATCGGACTCGCCGAGTTGTTCATCCAACTCGTCGAGTACATGATTATCTTCATATGACTCACCGAGTCGACCTTGCGACTCGCCGAGTCCCTTCAATCCTTTAACCATACAGATGCTTTTTAAGTCATGCAAAGACTCCATATTGCAGATCCAGCTTCCCAACGCATGTTTATCATGTAAAGTTGCAAACTTTACGTGTATGCAGGGCTCTAATGACTCATAATGCCAAATCTAAACTTGAAATGGAGTTTAACTCAAAAGGAAGGGTTCATACTTGCTAAAGCTGTAAGCTTTATGGACCTAAGGACCAAGGAGATTTCAGATCTGAAGTTGGAACTTCAGATCTTAGCTCATACCCAAGAATAGCTTCATAACATGATGAAAAGCCCTAATTTTCAACCCAAAAGAGATATGGAAGGAAAGAAGGTCAAGGTAACGACTTGATACCTTCAAATGGTGCTATCTGAGGTAGATTTCAGGTCCACACAAGCTCCTTGCTGCTATCTACTTGATCTTCAAGTTCCCTTCTCCAAGAATCTTCTTCCAAGGCTTGAAACACACAAATGGAGCACACACACACACATATTAGGGTTTTGATGAACTCTCTAGAGGCTGCAAAGGGAGGCTAAGGGCAAATGATCCTTTAAATAGGATGCAAAACCCCAGAATTTAGGGTTTCATCCTCCAGCTCCTACTCGTCGAGTCCCTTATTGGACTCGGTGAGTAGGTCACTAAAACACGCGACCCAACCCGCTGCTACTCGACGAGTAGGGCAACCAACTCATCGAGTAGACCTTGAAAACAAGAAAATTCTTATATTAATTCAATACCTGAGAATCGGGGCGTTACATTCTTATAGCATGGGTCAATTCTTATTTAAGATGGGCTAAAGCAATATGGCAGTCCATGGAGGTTTAACCCATGGAGCCTAAATAATATGAAAGGTCATGGGCATTAGGGTTTTGCGTGGATGTAACCCTAGAATTTTCCACACTATAAAAGGACTCCCTTAGCACCCAAAATCGGAGACTAGAGTTCTTGGAGTTCATTAGAGCCGATTTTGGAGCTAGCAACACCTCTCTCAAGTTCTACTTTGTCCTAGGTGTGTTGTGAACCGTTTGAGGCATCACACTTGGGGTGCTAAGTTCTTAAAGGCCAAATACAACAAGTTCTATAAGCTACATAAATAGGTAAACTCCTAACTAGTATTTTATGTTGTTTATGTCAATTGCATGTTAGTTGTAGGATTAATGCTTTGGAAACAATATTGCATGTATAATTAGAGAAAACATAGATCCAAAGAATTTAGGGTTATATGTGCACCATAGGATGTTGTAGTATACAAAACCCATCACTTAAGCCATTAAGCACTTAATGAGTTTTGAAGTTCATGGGAGTACGCCCCACATACTCGGAGTATATCCTGCGTAAGAGGTCAACCACCCCGATGGTGGTCAACATGTGAGGAATCGAGTAAGCCCAGTGTACCTTCGGTGTACGCTCCGCATACTCACATTGGGTTAATTCGGTTGAGTTGACCCGGTTGGGTTGAATTAGTTGACTTAGTTAGTTTGACCTGTTTTACTTTGACTTTGACCAAGTTTGAACTTAAGGGTATTTTTGGGATTTTGATTTTGATTGGTCATTTGGGTGGATATGTGACAGTTTGAGCTGAGATTCGGAGTCGGGACCTCATCAGCTACTGTTCAGTCTGTGAGGTGAGTTTTCCTCACTGTACTTGCGAGTCGAAGGCACCAATGCCGGCCATTAGTTGATATTCACTGATATGCTGAGTATGGAATAGATATGCATGATTATGCTAGTTACTATATGCCAGTCTGATAGATCTGTAGGACTACCTGTGATTCTGTTTGCATGATTAACTGTATATGTTTATTATCTGGTATATGTCGACATATTTTGTTGGGTTGAGGTTGTACTGCTCCGTGCGGTAGCCAAAAAACCCTGGAGCATTCCAGATATGAGTTGAGGTTCGGGTAGTGCATGCCAGACTCATATTGAGGGCTCATGAGCATTCCAGATACAAGTTGAGGACCGGGCGGTATGCCAGACTTGTACTGAGGGCTTGATGGTATTTCAGTTTGATGATTGATCTGGTCAGTGAGCAGGCCAGACATAAGCTGTGGGCCCCGAGGGCAAGCCAAATTTATGCTGAGGGCTCAGGGGTAAATTAGTCTTTTAGTTGTGGACCCATTGCGTGCTGTTATTGTATATGTTATTTGGTTATGTGTTCGTACTTTGGGGGAACTCACTAAGCATTGGCTTACAGTTTTGGGTTATGTTTCAGGTACATTAGATAACCACGATAAGGCGATGGCGTAACCGTACACTTCCTCTGTTTATGATTTATGATTTTGGGAAATTCTGATGACGGAAATGTTTTGAAAAATATTTTCTAAACACTTTATGGTTTTGGGGCTGTATTAAAAAAGATTAAACTTATCATATTTTTTATGGATGTTACACGACTGCATCTTACTGTGAGGTCACTGATGCCCGGCCTTGACTTTCCTGAAATTTAAGCACCTCTCCACGTACCAAGTTACATCCTGCTTCATGCAGGGCCACCAATAATCAGGACAAAGATCCCTATACATCTTTGTCGTCCTGGGATGAATGGAGAATCTCGACTTGTGCGCCTCTTCCATCAGAATCTGACACACACCACCCCAATACGGAACACATACTCTCTTATAGAGAGTCAATAACCCTCAGCTATCATGATCAAAGGAAGCCACCTGACCCATTATGTGCTCACTCATTTGGTGATCTTCCTTCATAGCCTCAATCTATGCCTCTCGAATCTGCTTCAAAAGCGGAGTAATCACTGTCGTCCTCAGAAAAATATCCCTGACCGGAGCCGCAACCGCCTTGCGGCTAAGAGCATCATCCACCACATTGGCCTTCCCCGGATGGTAAAGGATCTCACAATCATAATCCTTCACCACATTTAACTACCAAAGCTGCCTCGTATTCAGATTCGGCTGATCCATCAAGTACCTCAGGCTATTGTGATCCGTATAAATAGTACAACAGACCCTATATAGGTAATGTCGCCAAATCTTGAGGGCAAAAACCATAACCCCCATCTCCAAATCATGCGTCGGATAGTTCGCCTCATGAGGCTTCAGCTGCCTTGAAGCGTATGCAATAACACGACCCCTATGCATCAAGACCGTGCCTAATCCTTTGATAGACGCGTCACAATAAACCACCAAATCCTCAACACCCTCTGGCAGGGCCAGAATTGACACCTTGCACAATCTCTGTATCAGGGTCTCAAATGTTGCCTGCTGATCAGGCCCCCAGCGAAAAGTGGCAGTCTTCTTCGTCAGTCGGATTGCGGGAACCGCTATCTTGGAGAAATCCTGAATAAACCTCCAGTAATATCCCGCCAACCCAAGGAAACTGCGAATCTCAGATGGAGACCTCGAAACCTCCCACCTACTCACGGCCTCGACCTTGGTCGGATCGACCAAAATACCATTCTGGTTGACAAGGTACCCCAGGAACCACACCTTGCGCAACTACAACTCACATTTGGAGAACTTCACATATAGTCTCTCCCTCCCCAGGGTCTCCAACACCTCCCTCAAGTGCTCCCCATGCAACTCCTAGGTATTGGAATAGACCAGGATGTCATCGGTGAATACAATCACAAACCTATCCAACATCAGTAGGCACATGCAGTTCATGAGGTCCATGAACACAGATGGAGCATTAGTGAGCCTGAAGGGAATCACCACGAACTCGTAATGACCATAACGAGTACAGAAGGACGTCTTCTGCACGTCGTCCTCTCTGAACCTCATCTGATGATAAATAGAACGTAGATCAAGCTTGGAAAACCAAGACGCACCATGAAGTTGGTCAAACCAGTCATAAATCCTCGGGACTGGATAATGGTTCTTCACCGTTATCCTATTCAGCTCTCGATAGTCAATATACATCCGATGTGACCCATCATTCTTCTTCACATACAAGATCGATGTACCCCATGGTGAACTACTCGGTCGGATTAATCCTTTGTCTAATAGCTCCTGTAGCTGTGTACACAACTCCTGCATCTCTGGTGGAGCTAACCGATATGGTGCTTTGGCTATCCGAGCCGCACCAGGAACCAAGTCAATCCGGAACTCCACCTGCCTCCCCGGAGGCACCCCAGGAAAATCCTCCGGAAACATATTCGGGTACTCCCGCACAATCGGCACATCATCAACCAACGCCTTACCCTTCTCCCGGGTATCCATAACATAGGTGGCAAAAGTGGAATAACCCTGATAAAGATAGCGACTGGGCCTAGGGGCTGAGCATAGGACCGGCCCGCACTGAGCGCCCTCCCCATTGACCACCAACTCTCCCCCACTTGGGGTCCGAACACGTACCAGCTGGCGCTCACAATCATTCACCGCCCAATTGAGGCTCAACCAGTCCATCCCCACTATGAACTTGTTCCCGCGCAAAGGAATAGGAACCAATTCGAATGGATACCGCTCGCTAAACATCTCTTGAACGCAATTCCGATGAACCCTCGATACTCAGACATATCGATTATCCATAATCTCAACCTCTAAGGGATGATCTAGCTCACTCGGAGCTCCAACGAACCTCTTTATGAGCGTAAGAGACACGAAAGATCGGGTAGCCCCCGGATCAAACAATATCCAAGAAGAGATGCCGTTCACAAGGAATGATCCCGTCACCACATCTGGTGCAGCACGCACCTCCTCAACAGTTAGCTGAAAGGCCCTACTCCTCATTATATGTGCATCCGCCTTGCCCTAGCGGCCATCTGTAATCCGTAGGGTCATTAGAGCAGGTGCTGCTACTGGTCCTCCTGATTCTAGACTTGGGAAGTTGGCCTTCTTGTGGCCCCTCTGATTGCAATGAAAGCAAATCATGTCTGATGTATGTGTGGTTGTGATAGAAGCAGTATAATCCCTGCCAAAGTGCCATGTTATGCCACACTTGTAGCAGCTGTAACATTCCGTTTAAATTAAATAAATAGATAAAATTAATAAGTGAATAGTAGCCCTAAATTTGGAATAATTTAGCAAGGCATTGGTTTCGGGGGTTAAATGATATAATTTGGACTTTGGGGGTTAAGAGTGTAATTTCCAAACTAGTCTGTAAAGAATTTTGAAGGTTGAGGGCGGTTTGGTAAGTTATGGATTTAATTTGAAAAGGATTTCAGAAGTCAGGGCATGATTGGTAATTTTTGGACTTATTATGAAAGCATTTTTGGAGATAGGGGCTAAAGGGTAAATTCTGGATTTAAATTGAAAAACATTTATGGAAGAGGACCAAAAGTGTCATATGTATATATACATTTGGGAGATGGAGACGGGGCTTAAACCTGTCAACCCATCCATCCCTCGTCGCATGATCATTGGAAAAACCCTAACCCTAGATCATATTCTCCAGCTGCTAACCTCTTCAGCCTCCACCACCATATGAGCCCTCTCAGCCGCCACCACCGTGCCGTATCCATTCGCCGCTTGCTGCCTCGCATATGAGCGCCACCACGACGTTACTGCCGGACGTCGAGAACAGCAGGAAGATCGCCGAAGACCGAAGGAGGAGCTGTGTCGTCGTTGTTCGGGTCGTGAGCAACTTGGAAACTCTCAGTAAGAATACTCGCCACCCACCTTCCCTCTTCTTCGTTCGACGTTGTGGGCGTCAGTGCTACCGCCGGTGGTCTTTTTGGCCACTGTTTTCGTCTATTCCGGTGACGACAACCGCCTAAGAGGTGGCTGAGTGTGCGTATGTTTGAGTATAATGGTTTCTTTCGGTATTTGTGGTGTAGTATGCACGTTACTTAGCCGGAAAACCCACCACCACCACCGTAAGGTGGTGGTTGCCACCGTTTCGCCACCACCAGCCGTCGTATGGTAGTGGTTGTGTGTGTATGTTATGGTGTTGTGAGTGTGTTTAGTAGAATGAGACTTGTTTAAGCATTTTTGGTGGAAGGATTAAAGGAAAAACCACCACCACCGCCGTAAGGTGGTGGCTGCCCCCGTGTGCCGCTGTCGACCACCACCGCCCGAGCTGGTAGTGGGTGGTGCTCGACATAGTGAAACCCTAATCGGCCCAATAGCTTAATCTTGGACTTAGTTGGCTTGTGATCGGGTTGGAAACCCTAATTAGGGTTTAGAAAACCCTAATCTTGGGTATTTTAGTTTGGACTTGTCGGGACCCGCATTTTGGACCATTGGATTGAATCTATGGCTTATGCCCGACCACATGGTATGATTGGTCTAATGGAGTGATGGACTTAATGGATTAAATCCTTAATAGGTTAAGTAAGAACACTTAAACCCTAATTGTCATTTCATGTGAAAACCCTAATTTTGGTTGGGCCTTGAGTTGGACCTTCTTTATGGGCTTTGGTGATTGGGCTATTGATGGGCCATCTAAGAACAATTATATGGACTAGAATACTCGGATGGGCTTTAGGGTAAGGCACATGTGAGGGATTCGGGACCAATTTGGAAAATTGGGCTATAATTCGGCCTTGGTTGATTATTTGATTGGTCTTGGAGCAAGCTAGGTTAGGGGTAAAATGGTCATTTTACCCCAAGTGTGGGTTTATGGTTATGCATTGAAACCCAAATGGTTAATTGGGTTTTGTTTTGATGTTGACAGTTCGGGGATCTGTCAGCCAGCAGCCAGGGATTTATTCGCGGGACTTCAGCAGCGTGAGGTGAGTTTCCTCCAGGTTTGAATGGGTCGAAGGCACCAATGCCGACCCATGTAGTTAATATATGTGACATCCCCTAATTTCTCGGCCAGAAAAGACCGATTTAATTTATGCTTTTTAAAATAAAGTTAGAGAAATCTTTTTAAAAGATGTTGCGGAATTGGTCCCCAAAACAAAACATGATAAAAGTTTATCAAAACCTTTCTTTAAGAAAGTATATATTTTCCTTATATATCAAAACCTCAGGATGTCATGTTCCGATACAGATCAAAAGCATAAACAAGACATTATAAGCCTTACACAGTTATTTACAAGTACTGGCCTATAATCTAAAACTCTCTCATCATCCTCCGACTATGCTCGGGGTCCACTACCTGTAATAATAAAAAGCTAAGTGGGTCAGGCTTGGGAGCCTGATGAGCATATAGGTTTTTCAACCCACAATAATAATAAACTTATTAAGTTCACCAATCAACAATAACCCTGATTACCCATTCCCGTTGTCCTCACTTTACGTCCCTAAACACCTAACACAAGGGACCTAGCCTAAGGAATATCATCGGGATGGACACTACTGCTAAGGGGACTCCTCAGCCATACATGTCCTAAAGGCAACCATGAGGGGGATGGAGTACGCCAATGAACATATAGTTCACCAACACCTACAAGTTGCGAACCTGCTAGTGTTCCACTGGACTGTCTATAAAAGTCCGTGGTCGTCATCTAAACTCCGCTAGACGACTACTACAACAACAACAACAAAAACATCGAGGCCTCTCATCATTTTAACACCCATCGACTATTTTGTCTACCCATGTTTTACCCAACATATTTGTAGATAAAATACATATACAGTTTAAAACTTGTATAAAAACATCTATTCAACAGTCACCTCAAATAAACAATTAATATAATTACACATAGCACATATTTTAAGGTGAATACTTCATATCTATGTGTAAGGTGAAAGTAACTACACACTCACATGATTTAATGATAATCGGGCAGCACTTCGTTTCCTAAAACGATCGTTTCTAATAAAACCGGGAGTTTTATTCAGAAATCGGGCTCTGCGAGGGTTGGGCTTCAAAACCGAAAAGATAAATTTCTCGGGCTTCTCGGGCACTTCGGGACGTGTTTCGGGTGTTTGGTATGATACCGGGGCTTTGGGGGAAGTTGGAATGAAACAAATATTGAAAGAGGGGTGAAAATTGACAAGTTTCCAAAATATACCCGGGAGGTCTCGCACCCTTCTATTTATAGGGGCGAGACTTCTGATCCAAGGGCTGAGAAGTCTCCACGTGTCAGCAGATCCGAAGAGGGGTCACATGGGTCGCACGTGCGAGGGTCCTGCTGGAGGCTTCTGATTGGACCGAAGTCTAGGTCCGAGGGTTCAGTCGTGGCACTTGGTGCGAAGCTCGGACACCCCAAGCAAGGGCACGCGTCAGATGCGAGGCGAGGACACGGAAAAGGCACGAGGCAGCTTCTGATTGGCCGAGCCTTCGGTCCGAAGAGCGTGCGGCACGCGTCGACAGGTGGCCTCGGATGACTCAGCAGATCGGACACGTGGCACGTATGCAGCGAAGGTGACGTGGCCGAAGTCCACCATGCGAAATTCCTCGGTTTTGGCATTTTTTTCTCGATTTTTGTGTGCCAAAACTTCTAAAATCCATAACTTTCGCATACGTGCTCCGTTTTTGACGTTCTTTGTATGCACGCGTAGGTAAAATTACGTTCTACAACTTTCGTTTAGACTTTGTCGGCTAATTTTGACTTTAATTTTTATATTATTATTTTTAACAGACCGGGACAGGAAATCCGTTAAAAATTCATAACTTCTTCATCCGACGTCCGTTTTCGTCTGTCTTTTTACCGTTATACTACTATTGACGAGACCTTCGATTCTCGTTTAGGTTGTGTCGGCTAAAAATCACTCGATCTAAAATTCGAGTTTTTAGCTCTCTAATGCTAAGCTGAAACTTCGAAAAATCATATCTTCCTCATACGAAGTCAGATTTGGGCGTTCTTTTTATACATAATCTCGGTTTAACGAACACTACGACTTTCTTTTAGATCACTAAGGCTAAAAAGTAGTTTACCAAAAACTCACTTTTTACGTCATTCGCCACCGTGCCGGTTTTGTCGTGAAACTTCGACATGTCATAACTTCTTCGTTATAACTCGGATTTCGGTATTCTTTATATATCCGTAATCCTTGTCACGACCACTACAACTTTCTTAATAGATATCGGCTTTATCTAGTATTTAATTTCGACGCTCATTTTTATTCTTAATTAATTAAAATCCTAGTAATTAAGCATAAAACACATAATTTTCACATAATATTCACATAATTCCTTTTCATTTCTTCAAAATGAGTTACAAAGGTTAACCTAGACTATCACATCAATATTAATGCCTAGCCTAGAAACACGAGCGTTACAATATACTATTAATAGGAACACAGAGTGTGGCCGGGGACCGTATCTCTATATTAGCCGAGCATAGATATCAGTCAGATTGTTGGATTGCTATACTTGTTGTCTGTGTGATACCTGTATGTGTTGTTAGGAATGTGAGTGTGGGCGAGGCCCGTATCTCATCATTAGATGCGTGTGGGCAGGGCTCGTATCTCATCATTAGATGCGTGTGGGCAGGGATCGCATCTCATAGAGTGTGGGCAAGGCCTGTGTCTCATAAAGTGTGGGCGAGTCCGCATCTCATAGAGTGTGGGCGAGACCCGTATCTCATCAGTACTTGAGTATGGTTAGTAGTATGTTTGGTAGGTTGTAATACTTGTTGTCT